GTGTAGCCTAACTAAGGCCCACCCGACATATGCAGTAAGAATTGTTTCAGATTTTAGTTCTCATAAAGTACAAGCTACTTGATTAACCATAACAGCACCAGTATATGTCTGTTGATGAAAGAGAGCTTGAGAGGAGATAATCATATTGAGTACCCAAGCATGCACCATACACACTATGCAATTCCCTTTCAAGTTTCTCTCTCAGATGAATTCTGTCACTCGCTTGTGAGGGAACTCTATTTCCAAAAATGCAAGCTTTGAAGTCAGCAGGCAAGTGGGGTCCAGACGGCTGTGGCTAAGAGCCATATCCGTTGCTCTGGGGGTGTTTCTGACATTGCCTCCCTTCTTCTGTCTCTCAAGACATTGCACCATGAGTTTCAGTTATTGGTCTTTGGCTGCTATGAGTAAGGAGAACCTAACTGTAAATGCCAAACCACTAGTATTTCAGCAACTTTCACTTTTATGTGGCTGTTTAGAAAAAGGCCACAGTGATACTGGTCATCAGGGAGAAAGCTGTGATTAATCCATGAAGACTGTGAAGTTTAACTTCAGTGTCAGCCAAATTATCACAGTCTGGCTATTAGCCCAACATGAGTCAGAGCCATAGCAAAGACAGAATTGGGCCTCGTCTTGAATACTGTGTTTCTCCTCACTATATTACTATGTCATGAATACAACACAACGTAGCCACAGGCTAATAGGCAGAAATGTACTCTATGTCATCTTTTTGAGAGATTTGGTTTTCAAATGATTAAGCCACTGAAGTGGGCCTGTTCTGTGGATATGTGCGAAACTGAAAGTGCAAAACAAAGAATATCACTCATGCCTCATTTTCATAGTGTTGTAGGTAAGTCGCCAGTCACACCAGCAAACTCCACATGAACCTGAACAACTCTGTCTCTGTTCCATAGAAAATAATAGCAATTCTAGCTTTTTTCAAGAGAAAGCCACAGTGAGATTTGACTTAATTCACTTTACCATAGTTTCTAACATGGTCTTAAATCTTGATTCACAATTTAGAATAATAAATCATTGATGTTACTGCTTCTCGCTGCAAACTAGAACCTCAACCAGTGCTACCAGCATACACAAATCAAGTCATTCCTAACAAAAAATGTTTTGATTACTGTATTATGGCAAATTCTGAAGTAGAAGGTTGAAACAGACAACTAAATATTGTCTTCTAAAAGATAAGGCCTTCAAGGCGATGACAGTGCATCAGTAAGTTGAAACAGTCAGAACTGCAAAAACGTGGGGAGCATTTATGCTTACAAAGAACCAGAACTAGACTCAATATGTACATAGAAAGCTAGCTTGCAAACAGATTTTCAAATGCTAAAAATATAGAAAAATTATTAACTTCAGAAAGTAAATTTTAATGTAGTGATTACTCAATTGTGCCTTTTACCACACAATTGAGGCATTCCAGCAGTACACATGATTAAGTTACTTTAAAACAATAAATATTCACTTATCTTGTAATGTGTAACTTGGGACAATTTAATCAGCAGCCAATCATTAAAAAGCTTAGTGGCCTTTGTCTCAGATGAACCATACAAGAGTTTTGTATTTAATTATATTTTCTTTTCAAAATGAGCAACAAACAGAATTGTTTTTTCTGTTTATCCCCTCTATTTGTCTTATGATTAATCTCTCAGAACACAGATTTCTGCTTGTTTTGGTTCCGCAAGTTCAGACATGTATATCCTGTTTGAATCAGCCAACGTCCGTTGCAGTATTCAAATTTGATCTTTAAAAGAGCGACTCACTATGTACGCGCAAATGCCTGGGGATTTTGACAGGAAACCACATCACTTCTCATGCATCAGCGACTACATAGTCTTTAGTGACTCCAAAAAGGGACAGGCCAAGAGTGTCACATTTTGCTCTAGGGTTGCCTTAGTTTCACTGTAAGAAGAACATCATATTCATTCATTGGAATTTCAAAGCTTCAGCATCTGTGCCATCTCTATACACTATGTATACACTTTTATATCTTCTGAAAAATGTTGCACTATTTTGAAGGAAATTAATCTTTTATTTTAGCTTTTTTGTATCTTCCCTCTCTTGCTGGCATAATTAATGGGCTACAGTTCAGTTTCAGTTGCACATGTGGCACATCTGGCCCCACACCTTAATCATTACTTACTTTTTATGCTCTACTTTGGTAGCCATGGAAACTGCTGCATGTTTGGCAGACTGCCTTTGAAGCCAGCAGTAGATGGAGGAAGGGAGGGAGGGAGGGAAAGAGTGAAAAAAAGAGAGAAACAGCAGAGGGAGGGGTGGCAGGCGGGTGTGTGTGAGCTCTCAGGAATTGGCCTACATCCAGTGTAATCATGGTGCAGAGCTGAAATGAGGCCTTTGGCAGCACACCAGGTTTCTGAGAACAAAGATGTGAGGCTCTAATGTTGGCAGTAGAGCCTGCTTGGCATCCCTTACTGTTTCCCAGCAGCCCCTGCCATGGCTGCCTGCCAGCCACCCCCCTCCTCCCACGCCTGCTGGGACTGCAAAAAGGATCTGAATAAAGAGAGAGACTTGTTTTTATCCAGGCTCTTCTGCTCTGCTCCAATGACATCACCTCTGCAGCCTCAAACCCTCGGATTCCAGACGCCCAGTGCAGAGTGCTTTTTTCCCCTTCTTTTTCAGGCCCTCCATTTTAACAGAATTCCTCCATTTTATAATTATTGTATGGTGCTGTTGCAAGAACATTTCATATTTGCTGTTTTGAATGAGTAAGAAGAAACCAGTCTATGTTTTGCCCAATATTTACAAATGGTAAAGGGCTAAGAAAGAATATTGGTGTTAAAAAGAAAGCATTCACTGCTAAATCTGATTTGAAAAGAAAAAATGGCAACACTGTAAACAGGATGTGGCTTGTCAGTAGGGGGATCCTGGTAAGCACTGAGTTACCATGGTAACCTGTTCCTGAGAAAATTGTAGCCAATCAAGAGGAGTAAAAGATCCTTTGCACACTGCTTTCAAGCATGTTAGCCTTTCCTGAAAATCAGAACAAAAAGACATTTTGTGTGATTTTCAGTGCTGAATGAAAAGGTGCATTATGCATATGGGTATGCAGTGGACATCAAAGGCATGTGAACCAGGTAAAATCACAAAATGTTTTTAATGTTACCATTTTAACAGATTTCCATGAAATAAACTAGCTAGAAGGACTTTATTTTCAGTCTCATACTGCAGCTGCAGCGACAAGATTATATAACTCTGAAGATTCTCTTGGGAGGGTAAAGAGAAAAACACAAAGGTTCTGAGTAATGTACTGCATATGCAGAGGAAAAAAAAACTTCTGAAGAAATGCATACTAAGCAGCACTGTTGAATAAAAGATGGGCAACCAAAATAACAAGCAGGCTCACATTGTATTGCACCAAAGTCATCAGCAGCTTACACACTGATGGATTCATGCTAGAGGAAGGGTATTCCCCTACACCTACCAATCACAAGACTGTCCTCATAGTGTCAAACAGCAAACAAACCACGTGTCAATTTATTTCAGACTCCTTCCGCCTTTAAATGTAAACTGGAGTGAAAAGTTGCTCTTTAAGATTACTCCACACCCTCAAGTAGTTCTTCGAAGCTTCCTGAGTAATTTTTCTTTCTGCATGATTAAATGATTCCTCGCTGTGGTGGAAAACCTTTTGTATAGGGGTCTTCAAGACCCTTTTAAATGGTTCTATATAGCACCAAAAAGATTCCACTACAGTTATAAATCTTAGAACCCTTTTTGGTAGTACACACAACCCCTTTTTGCTAGGAATGTAGCTGCAGTTTAGCCTCTAACCAACCGTTCCCACTACGAGAAAAACAGTAAAATGGACACATTCCTAACATGCGATTCATAGTACTGCAATGTGAAACCACAATGAGCTTTTGCCTAGTTTTCATGAGTCACTGTCTGACAGCTGTGAACTGGTGGAACTAAACAGTCCTATCTGAAACTCGATCGGTCTCTCATAAGGCAGAGATTAGGGCAGAAAGGAATGAGTCGTCCAGCTGGAGATTTGCAATTTTCGTGGGCGTCAAATGGCACCATGCAGTGTTTCTCTACTTACATCAGGCCACTTGTGTGAACTGCGCATGCTCGCTTTCCTTGGCTGCGGGCCAAGAGGTTTGCTGTTTGTCGAGCAGGGCGAGGCGAGCTGTTGGTACGTGACTAAACATCTTACTTCCTCTTTCCAACGTCACGAGGGCTTGCGCTAACACATCCTGCCTTGTGTCTGCAGATTTCATATGCGTTGCCTCACCAGTGGAGACCTGAGCTGCAGTTACTTGGAACGGATCCAAGTCATAAAAGGAAGCACTATGAAAACAAACGGTTACTTATTTGCCAGCCGCCCAGGTCAATGCGCAATGTGTAGCACTTTGTGTCAGCTCATTGTCATCATCGGCCATTTTAACGGGGCCGATTTTTATTGTGCTGCTCCTGCCACAGGCCCTGTAGACCTATTATTTTCTAGCCTTGAAGTTAGAAAAACGCCTGGTTACTTGTGATAAGCTAGGGAAATCCCTAGCATCCTTAAATTTCAATACACAGGCGTCGTAACCGAATTCAGAGTTTCTGTGGCGTAACATCACTGATGACGTATTGATGCAATAACTGAGGCAGCCTGTATATTTTACTGAAGGGACGAATATAACAGAGATTCTGTAATTTATCGGTCTCATAAATCGACTGAACTATTACTCGGGAGTATAGCACTTAAGTAAGCACTAAGTTATGTTCTTACTGAAATGTATTGCGCTATGTTTAATTCTGTTTATTTTTTCTCTAGGTATCAAATATAGGTATCAGGATTTTGTTTCTTGCAATATTTATAATTAGCAAGATACGTTCTCTGCGTAGACAACTAAGCACTTTTGTAAGTCGCTCTGAATAAGAGCTCTCCTAAATGCTGTAAATGTAAATGTAACCTATTACTCAACCTGGTTTTAACTTATTCGCTGCAAGAACTGCAAACTGCAGCTCGAGCACCCCATAGAGCATGCGTGGAGGAGGAAAAAACAACTGACGACAGATCGCGTGGTTTGTTTTGGGCTCAGTGCCACTGACATCTTTTTTCTGTTTTAGTCCAAAAATGCAGACAGTCTGTTTTTATTGACGCTTAATTCGACTTTATTCAAATGTAATCAACATATAAAACAAATCACCACAGTAAGCTGCATGTCAAGTCAGTTGTGTTAAGAGGCTACAAAACCTAGAACCATCTAAAGTGGTGACTGCTCACCATGTCCATTTCCCGGAGGGACAGTGTGCCCGCAGGCTGTTCCTGCTCTTCGAGCGAACGATGACGTTCTACACGGAAAATGCTGTTCAGAATTGTTTTCTGAAATCGTCCTTTCAGAGCTGCCTGTATGTTTTTCTTTTTTGCATTTGATGATACTGGTTGCTGTTGTATTTCTGGCTACGATTCAAATCGTTCACTGAAATCAGCCCAGTCTCCCTCACAGCGCATGCGCCAGAGGGGGGCTGTCGAAGAATCAAGTAAATAGAACAGAAGCTGGAACCACAAGTTAGCGTTCGGCAATGACGTCACTGCTCCACATTGCGCTCGCAGAGTAATAGTGAGTGAGTGAGCGAGATAGATAGACGTGCGCCGTAGTAAAGTACACGCTACTATGAAGTTCTGAGTGTAACGTAATTGTTATAGCCGTTGTCTACTCAGGGCGACCTGGAGAGGGGAGATTTACTGTATATAGATTTTTACTGCTCCGAGCGACACACGAGGGCATTTTCTGAGAGGATTTTCGGCGTTTTTCCTTTTAACGAAAGAAATGTCGTCTGCGGCGGTAGCTGCTTCCAGAAGGCAGTCATGTTATTTATGTGACTTGCCCCGCATGCCGTGGGCTATGATTTGGGATTTTACCGAGGCTGTCTGCAGAGGATGTGTTAACTACGAGGGAGCGGATCGGATCGAGTTTGTTATTGAAACTGCAAGACAGCTAAAAAGAGCCCATGGATTTCAGGAGGGTAGATCGCCAGGTCCAGGGAAACAGCTCTCGGGGAAGGACATTCAGGCAGGAGATCCGGGTTCACGGCCACCTCAACCACTGGACCGCTACCCCATCTCGTCTGACCGTCCGCCCAGGCTGGGACCAGAATACCAGTCTGGAAGGCAGACGAATGGCATTCCCGTTCCTAACGGATTCTCTAAACCAGACGATCCACCGGAGCTGAACCGCCAGAGCCCTAACCCTCGAAGGACTAGCACTGTCCCCCCGAATTCAGTACCTTTAGGAAACGGCAGCATGCCTCCCGTTCATGCTATTAACGGCAGGCCAGGACCGATTGGACTACCGGCTGGTCTCACGGCGGCTAGCCCCATGGAGCTTGGTGGTAAGCGGCCAGCCTCCGTATCAAGCACGGAGCACGAAAGAGAGGTGAAAGACAAGCACAGGCCGGACAGCTTGACTCCAGATATCAACGAGAACCATAAAACCAGGGCTGATGACTGGATAAACAAGGGCAAAACGGTTAGAGACCTAATGGCTCTCAACCCATACGACAGCAGATTTAAAAAGGACGCCATGCAACAAAGGATGATGTACGAAAGCGCCCCTGCCTCCAAATCAGGTACCGGAAACCGATCTTATTTTACATTCATGATTCACTGTATAATACATAATGCTTAATAACTGCCTTTGTTGTGACCCGGTTAGCATTTTACTGCAGCGTCTGAGCTCATTTGAGGGAGTTGAGTGTGACATGAGTCAGCTGCTGTGTATCAGGGGTGTCAACGAAAATTTCCGCTGATCAAAGCAAAGCTAATCGCTTTGCATGTGACGCATTTCAGTTTGCCTCATTGTTACGGTATTTTCGCGGTGCCATGTGTCTGCAAGTGCAACACCGCAACAGATTTAAGCGACTTTAAAATTCAGCTTTTGTGCTCACGTAGGCGAGACACTGCTGTTTCAGCTTTACATTGCTAGGCTAATGCTAAGATTTAACCGCCACCCCCTTGTTTTTGTTTCAATCTCACAGACAGGGGGAAGCATCCCAGGAGCATGAAGCGAAAAGCCTCTCCCGAGCCAGACGGCGAGGCCACCGCGGGGAAGCTCAACGGAGACCAGTGGCTCCCGCCGCCCGGAGATGGCATGAAGCTGCCCGCAGCGGCGGCTCCGGCGAGCTTTGGCACGTCCACAGCATCGCCGCTGTCTCGCGGCACTCCGCCCGAGGCCGCGCACAACGGCCAGTCACCCATGGCAGCGCTCATTCTGGCGGCGGATAACGCGGGAGGCGGCAGCTCACCTAAGGACGCGAACCAGGTGCATTCGACGACGCGGCGGAACAGCGGCAGCCCGCTCTCGCCGTCGTCCACGAGCCAGCGGAGGGGGGCAGCGACGCGGGAAGGGTCCGGCGCGGCCACCCCGCACGCGGCGCCAGCCGACCATACGCACCCGCAGAGCGTGCCGGACTCATCGGTGCCCGGCGGCATGCCGCTGTGCTGCACGCTGTGCCACGAGCGCCTCGAGGACACGCACTTCGTCCAGTGTCCCTCGGTGCCCTCGCACAAGTTCTGCTTCCCGTGCTCACGAGAGAGCATCAAGCAGCAGGGCGCCACGGGAGAGGTGTACTGTCCGAGCGGAGAGAAGTGTCCGCTCGTGGGCTCCAACGTGCCGTGGGCGTTTATGCAAGGCGAAATCGCGACTATCCTGGCAGGGGACGTTAAAGTTAAAAAGGAGAGGGACCCGTGATTAGGACACGCCAACTTTCCTCTTTTCGAAAATGTCGAAAAAATACGAACCTATATAAATAGCCTATATAAATGCGAATATCACAAACATCCGAACAGAAATTAACGGACTTGTACATACTGGACACATGAGATGTGCATATTTCGTAAACATTGCTGTATACTTTTTTTTTTTTGATTTTTTGAATACTTTGTGTTTCTATATTTTTGAAGATAAAGATATGTACTCATTATAACTGCTTACGTTCCTCTGTCAATGTTTAACGATTTCTCGATGTACCTTTAGGTATGGTGGCAATTCCTGTTAAACGTAGAATGTGACTAATGCAACTCTACGAGCACTTGGCAAAAGTGAAAAAATGCTTTTAGCTGTACTTGTATGCACTTGTTTAAAAAACTGCCAAATACATTTTTTTCTGATCTTGTATTAATTTAGTGTCTCTGTTTACTGCTTGTTGGATTTAACAGTAGGAGATAAGAGGGGGTTGTTGATGGTGGGGACGTGGATGGCATGTGCTGAACATGGTGGTAGTTTGTGTGTTTCTAGCCACTGTAATTGGTCTGGGGCGGCGCAGGAGATGCATGACTAGTTGGAGATGGAAATACATGTTGTCATATTTTATTAGGCACCTTTGACATTGTTTGGTTGGACTCCTAAAGAATTCAAAATCACCTTGTAGCCAGAGGCTGGTCAGTCTGTTTTATATTAATTTAGGCCAACGTCCAACAGGAATCAAGTAGCTGCCTGTGAAAAATCGCACACATACTGGAAAATTATGTTTTGAGGGCAGGCACACACCCCAAAACTTTCACTAAGAGAGTAACATTTATGTTCTGTAACTGCATTTGCATAAAATGTGATATGTGCAGCTCTCCCAGCAACCATAAAATTAACATCCCCATTCAAAGCACCAAGAGGATATGATTATTCTGTGGGCTGGAAAAACAAGCCACGGTCACGTGACTGACCATGGAATTCCTGAGTCATTGTCCCTCGTCTGCCCTTGTTCAGTAACACAGCCGTGCCAAGGTGGACTGCTTTAGGCCTGCTTGTTCTCGTTTGCTGTGGTTCAGGGCAATGTGAAATCTTCTATGCAAATCTAAAATGTGTTTGAGTTATTCCCTCCACCCGCAGCAATTGAAGGACTGCAGTGTGTTTTTAAACACTGATGACATGGTTGTACTTGTTTATAAAACACACATTTTGCATATTTTCCCTGAGCAATAGATTTACAATAGGAACGCCAACCTACCCTACGAGAAAAGGACATGGAGTCCTGTGTCAATTAGTAAATAAATACATTGTTGCATTGCACAAAATTATCTTGAATTGCTATGCCTTGTTTTGGTGATGTTTGGTGACCCAAATTTGTTCTGATTAAATTAGCAGTCCAGAAGACTCACACTAAGGGGAACATTTCCAAATGGCTGGAGTGTCAAATAGTATGTGTTTTGCAGTGTCATCTACAAATGCTTTCAACAGCTTGCATGTTGCGATATGATGAATGTAAACAACTTATGCCATTGCACATTCCTCTTCTCAGTGCTGTCCACCTTTTTACTGCCACGCCTCTTTTTCAACATCAGAGTTGTAACACACTGCCCTTTTCAAGATGGATGAGAATGTAAGGGGTATTTCCTAATTTTCTAATGTTCTTTCTGTAATGTTGTGACAAATATTTTTTACGTTCAACCTAAGACTAAGTGTTCCCCCCAATCCAAATATTTCTTTATCTTTAAAATTCACATGATGAGTGAGAGATGCTATTTTGATTAGTGCCAGAATCCATCATAAAGGTAGATAACTAATAATAAGGATATACTAGTTCCACAGTTAATCAGTGGACAGCCCAAATGAAGGCTTGTAGCTTCCTTTGACTTGGAGCTATATTGAGCCATGCATGTGGCCTTTAAACCCTGCCTTTTCTGTAACAGGAGACTGTGCTGTTGCCTAGTTACATGTTGCTGTAGTAAACAGAAGGTGCTATGTTGATTCAAATGCCAGGAACATTAATCCTCCAGGCTTCACTGCCTTGCTTAAAAGGGGAGAGACAGAAAAAAGGCACCGTACGGCATTAATGGTCAGTGTGTCTTCATTTATAAACTTGGTCATGGCTGTATTTACAATTCTATCCACACATATAGGGATATTTCTGAAAACACGTTGTTTTGCCTCTGTTCACATGAATACAATGTTTTAGGTCACAGAAACTGAGCGTTTAGGAAAGTCTTTTCATTTTTTTAATGTAGAAAGGTAAAAGGTGTTTTTGTAAACATTATACTATTAGCTTGTGCATTGTCATGGCTGTATTGCTGTGTTGAGCAGGCTTTAGGACTCAGCGTATCTGCCGATGACCAGATTGTTTATGTGGTTGTAATATCGAATTTCATCAGGTGTTTATATTATTTAGCTTTACTTTTTTAAGTCCACACATATGAATCCCTTGTTTGGTCATTCCTTGTTTCCTTAATACTTTTATACACAGCCATTGCATTGTTGCATTTGTAACATGCTGGCATGCCCTCTCTACAACTGTGCTCCATATGTCATGCAATACACATGCTCTTAATGTTCTTCTCAAGGCTTTTGACATCAAATGTCATGAGGTAGGCCATGACTGCCATCTCCCTGAGCTGACATGTTGAGTGTTTTCAAGTTGTTTTTGTGTTCTCAGGTGGATAGAGACTTTTAAAAACACTGTAGGCATGGACAGAGAAAATTTTTGAAAGTAGACAGGAAAAAGCATTATCAGAAATATCCGGATATGTGTAAAGGGGGCCCAAGTTTCTCTTAACGTTGCCGTTAGAAACACCACTGTGCTGCCTGGTTAATCAGTGACATGAAACTTCATTTGGCATGGTCTGATTGGGAAAGAATGGGTATGCCTGTTGTTAAACTAAACTTGGCCTTTGGACCCTGATGTTGTGTTCTTATCTGCTACAAAAAGATCTATAAATCAGTGGAATGCAGTCTGTTAACCTCAAATGCAGAGATTAGACTTTGCGATTCAGTCAGCATTTAAAAGGATGAAGGGTTGTGTGTTTGAGGCTGACTCTTTTCATTGGCAGTTCAACAAAGTTCCAGTAACCACTCTAAAAATTAAATGAACACTAGTGATTTTAGTATGTAATAAAGTTAAATATTACTAAAGACTTCCATATTTTATTACAATGTTTTTTTTTTTTTTCCACAATTTATTACAAGGAATTGGTTTGCATATTGTATACTGTTAGAGCAGCTTTAGGCAAATTCTCTCCCTGTAAACATACAAAATGTAACCATCAAAAGTCTAAGAAGCTAAGAATGTGTATCATTATTGCCTTTGTGCCATTGCCTTGGTTAATTTCAAGGCCATGGGGTCATATATTAGTTTCCTTAACCTAACACTTTATAGATAACTTTTACTACTTACTAAGGAATGTCCATAGTATGCAGAAAAGTGCAAGGAACCTTCCACATGTCACTGAGTACAGTCATTTTTACAGGCCAGTTAATATTTCACAACATCACTTGGTCAAAAGGCCCCACCTTTTGGGGTGCTTGCCAGCAAACTATTCTGTAAACCGCCAAATCATTCTTTTCCCCACCTATCTGTCTTGTTTGCTTGTGAAACATCTTCCATGACTGATTCAGTATTTGTATTAACTTTGACCACAGTAACTGCAGGTTTGTTAGTCACTCATAGAAGAGATGTGGCAATAAAAGGCTGTGTGAATTCACAGAGGTCTGATGAAATTCAAAGAGCTTTAAGGGCACTCAACCTTTACAAATATGTGAGCAAATGTCTCTGCCATGTTTAATGAGTAAAGCTGGCCTGCTGTCCTGTTTGTAGATTTGTAAAATATTGCAGTGTAAATGACTGATAAAAAAAACTAGGACTCACAGCTAGGATCATCAATTAGTAGCTGTCGGGCAAGATCCTGTGCTACCTACCGAAACAGATAAAAATAGGAAATATTTCATCACTGCCTAATAAAAAAAAGATACGCTATTATTACTTCCATTACATGTTATTGCCATTATAAATAAATGAGTAGACACCTTTATGCAACATTTAGTCTATTGTTTATTGAAATGATGAATGTGTACATCAGTTTTTGACATCTTTCCTAGCTAGCTCATTTTGTTTTGAGTGTTAGTCCACCCATAGTCAAAGTTCTGTGACTGGCAACAAGCACTATGGATTTTCATGAGGAAAAAAATGTGAATTTAAATGATATGTCTTATCAGTCTTACCTGCCAAATATTCAGTGGCCAGTATTATGAAGAAATAAAAAAATGACATACACATGGGGCCCCCTGGTGGCTTCGGGGGCCTTAGTGAATGCTTATACTGCTTATTGCTAGAAACAGCCCTAGGTGAATTCTTAAATTGATTTAGTTTTGATTTAGTAATCTAACACTGAATAATCCCAACACCTATACTGATACTTTTTCATATTTTCATATTTCTACAGTGGATATTGGATGTATTTGAAAGTCTTTGCACTCTGCCAGATAGAAGCCTGGCTGTATGTGTCTATTCACTGAACTGTTTTTGATTCTCAAAAGGAAACACAGAGATCAAATGAATCAACACTTCAGTAACAATCTGCTAATCACTGCACAGCATGTATGTGTAAGAGAGGGAGAAAGAGAGTGAATATGGAACTATCTGTCATATCTTGCTGGCTGTGCTATGCCACTGTGTCTGTCATTTCTCACCACACTCCACATCATTTGAGCTTTGATTACCCCCAGCTGCCAATTTCTGTTTTGAAGCCCCAGTTGTTGCGCTAAGACTGCGTCAAGTGAAAGGACTGAGAGGACTTTGTGACATTGTGAATGCGTTTTGTTTTTTGTCTGTTTTTTTCTCCCTCCAGTAGACCCTGTATTTGTTTTTTTTGCTGCTTTTTTCTCTCTGTGGAAGCTTTGTTGTTCCATAAAAGGACTGTTTTTCTTTCTCTTTGTATCTCTCTCACTCTCTCTCTCCTTGTTTATATTATTATTATTTTGCAAATGTTGTATGATCATCAGCTTCTTTTCGTTGATCATGTTTTCTCCAGGTACTGCATATTTCTCATAATTCTCCTGGTTGAGTGTTTTGTTAGGAAGATGCATTCGAACAGCTGGCAAAGTCACAAATACAAATGATATACTCAAACCAGTACCAGGTTACCCAATTTAACCATTTGTGACCTATCACCTACTACTACATTATCTGATACTGCATGAATTCAGCAGACCAGATGACAAGTTGGCAAACAATGTAGGCTTTGAAGTAATAATATTAATGATACTTTAATTTATTTATCACAATGCACATAAATGATTGTAACATTGAGCCTGCCTGTAGTAAATAGGGAGAAGATATGTTTTTTTTTATAGTGAATGATGTCATTGGTCTATCATTTGCCCCAGTTACTGATTATCACTGAAATTCCAACAAGTAGTAGGGGTTAAATGATGTTACAATTTGGTGATGTGACAATTTTCTGACTTTGTGAGCTGACAAGGACATCTAAATGCACCATTTAACTGAAGATTCTATTCTGGTCCTAGATGGCCAGTGTCCAGCACAGTTTGAGGATTTCTCTGCTCAAACACACCTAATAAACATGGCAATAAACAAAGGAGTTGAAACATGTTTGAGCAGTGCACCAGACTATACTGGATGCCGGCCTTTCTGAAGTAGGGCTTTCACTATCCATTATAGTACTAATTGGTTTTTAAAAAATGTATGTTCAGTAAATTTTCCAACTTGAGGCTAAGTCTGAGAGTTATTGGAGGAGACTGTTAGCTAAGTCTTATCTGTTGAACTGGTTAGCCTAAACCTAGTTTTTAAATGAATTTTAAATGAATTCTTGCATAGTGTACGATTAGTAAGATTCGGGCCTTATTGTTGATTTAATTGCCAACTAGCCTTTGCCAGTTTATTGAGAAAGTAATTTTAATCCATGTGTTTTTATAAATCTTGAAATTGGGTAATATTGACAGCCTTTGAAATATAGGATAAGAAATTTATAATAATAATATAATAGAGTAGAAGATATTTCACTAAATCTGGGTCTAGATGGCTGATACATTTACTACAGGCTGGTACATATAAGACCTAATTGTTGCTGATAATATCCCTAGGTTACTAACTGAATGTAGGCCAGTTCATTCACCACATTTTGGTGTAAAAAGCCCTAGTTTTTGCTGTGCTGCATATAACACATGACATTAGTTCAGTACCACCGTGGGACTCAGAAGAAACCAAGTAGAAATAAAAGCCCTGGATATAGCTGCCTCTTTAATGAAGCTATGATATAGCATGATAAATCCAACACACACTTTA